AATGAACATTCAATTCACGGGCAACAGCTCTGGTGGACATTCCTGCAGTCAGCATGCCAATTGCACGCTCCCTCAAAACTTGCAACATCTGTGGCATTGTGCTGTGTGATAAAACTGCACATTTTAGATTGACCTTTTATTGTGGCCAGCCTAAGGCACACCTGTGCAATAATCATGCTGTCTAATCAGCATCTTGATATGCCACACCTGTGATGTGGATGGATTATCTCGGCAAAGGAGAAGTGCTCACTAACACAGATTTAGACAGATTTGTGAACAATATTTGAGAGAAATAGGCCTTTTGTGTACATAGAAAAAGTCTTAGATCTTTGAGTTCAGCTCATGAAAAATGGCGTGAAAAACAAAAGTGTTGAGTTTATAATTTTGTTATAACTACAACAACTATGCAAAATCTTAGCTATATGTTGTTTAAGTCATGCTGTTTTATTGATGACTTTCAACACTTAATGATCTTAACAATCTTGTACTTTAAGTATCGATATAGATCAATAAAATGAAGATTGATTAAATCAGGTAATCGATATTTCAACTCAGCTTTGATTTTTATTTTACTTTTTTTTTTTGAGTCAATGAAAAGGCCAAGACCAATACCATATAAATATCTGGTCTGGTCTCAAGTACCCACTCTGAAAAAAAAGAAAAGAAAAGAAAAGAAATACATTGTTTATGAGAAGAAAAAGCTATGATCACTACAACAATATTGAATATGTTACAGAGGCCACAAGAATGGGAAAATATGCATGTTTTAAATGATAAAAGTTCATGGTGTCGAGTTCAGATTTCTGCATCTTTATTATTTATAAATGTTAACTTTTTTTCTTCCCTAATCACAAATTATTATACATAGTTTGCAATATTAAAAAAAAAAAAAATGTATGTAAATGCATAAATAAATAAATTCCACCTACTAAATTCCAAGTCATTTTAAAATACATTATATTAAACTAGGTCCTACATTTGCAGAGTTAATTTTCATTTTTTGCCTAAATGTTTCTTCGTTCCAAGACATTTTATGTTCATTTTATCATTATATAATAAAATTATGATTTTGCCAGAATTGTGGCACAAATATAATTCCATAGAGAAGTGTGTCTCTACTGTATGGAGTGCACTTCAGTTGGCAATCTCTATCTTGTGTTCATCTTTATGTTTGTTCCTATTTCATCACTTTCTATCCTACAGCCCTTTTTTTCGATGCTGAGGGCAAACTCTGTGTGCGTGCGTGTGTGCATACGTGTGTGGGTGTGTGTACACTGTGGCATTACCCATGATGACTCACACTGCCCTCAGAACAACACTAGTGGAGGCTGTTGTCAACATTGCAGGGGGGGAAATTGCTATGATTTTTTTCTTTAAATATTGTATAAGGGGAAAAAAAGAACTGAGAGGGAATGGAGTTAGGACGTCATTTGACTTCCTCTCCTCTGAGAATGATCCCTTGGAGACCATGTTTGCTGGGATTTGTTCTGTGGTTCAGTTCTTTGATTATCCTGCTCGTTATAATTTTCCCACAAGTGTCTTTGCTAAATTTCACTGGGATTTCAACAGCTGGTACTTAAGTTCTGAGCTGAAGCAGACAGCACTCTCTCGCTTGTCAAATCCATCCCCCTTCACCGTACACAAATATTTCTGCATGCAATGTAATGAAGGCTACACTAGACAGAAAACCCATCAGTTTTTACTGCAGATGAAACCGCAGAGAGAGCAGAGACAATTGTACCATAAACATCTTTGTTGATGCCCAGATGGCAGTTTTTATTTACATTGCTGAACACTTTAGATGTAAAAAAAAAAGCAAGCTTTTTATTAATTTGTGGAATAATGCTTGTCAGGGAATGTTGCTGTTTTTTTTGTTTTGTTTTTTTTGTTGTTGTTTTTTTTGTTTTTGTTTTTTGTTTTACAGCATCATTTATTTATTTATTTATTTATTTGTGGGGAGAAAAAAAATAAATATTAAGTGGCTCATTTAAGTGGCTATTTAGCTCATGCAAGAAGGACAAAAGGCACCATAAAAGTAGTACATACATGCACTATATCAGTGGTTCTCAAACTTTTTTATGCCAAGTACCACCTCAGAAATTATTTGTCTCTCCAAGTACCAACATAATCACCATCATTAAAATACAGTAGCTTAATAAGCTTAACTATTCAGTTGCAGATCTGCACAGTTCAAAAACGAGGCAGTTTTATTCCTAATAAGAATACCTATTGTTATCAGCTACTTTAACATTGTAAATACACAGTTTAAACATTAACACTGAACCGTGTTTACATACAGGTAAATAAAAAACTTAAATAATGATTAAATTAAAATGTGTTCTATCTAAAAGTTAAATAAAAACTGTACTGTAATTAAATGTAAAAAAAAAAAAAAAGAAGAAAAGGATCAAAACATAAATCAGACAATGTATATGATAGCAGCAGGCAGCTCACATTTACCATTTGGTATCAGTGTACTGGGCTTTGTACAGTATGTAAACCAGGCATTAAAACTTTGAAACCACTTTTGTTTTTTTTTCACTAAAAACATCTGCAAAATGATATGGAATGGGTATAAACGTGTAAATGCTTTAAACAGAGTTGAGAGTACTACACACTTATTGGTAGCTGAAATAATCAAATTAGCAAAATATTAAATGAACACACAAGGATCAGGGATGTGCATACAAGGATCAGTGGACTAATGGAACTTTGTGAATGACAGGTGTTTCAATTTGGCGGAAATGTGTGTGGCTTGCTGCAAATTCTGTGTGAGGTTGCCATTCATTTACCCCCATAAAAGCTTTTCTTTCTGTCAATTAGTTGCTGCTGAGAGGGTGTGATGGGCAATTTGATTCCCAGGGTGAGGCACAATAGCCAGGCACAGAGCATTCAAATACTTCCTGAAACTAGCAGATTTACAGCAGATGCAATAGTGTTTTAATTACTTCCCTATTATAGATCATATTTGAGGTCTTACATCAAAATGAAGATTGATTTTTATAAGTGTCATCTTCTGAAGATGACTTCATATTTTTTGTTAATTTTAAATTCTGCATTTCTGAATGTTATTGACAGTTGGACGAGAATTATATATACAGGTGCATCTCAATAAATTAGAATGTCGTGGAAAAGTTCATTTATTTCAGTAATTCAACTCAAATTGTGAAACTCGTGTATTAAATAAATTCAGTGCACACAGACTGAAGTAGTTTAAATCTTTGATGTGTCTCTGCAGCGAGTGGATAGGAACATCAGTGGTGTGTTTTCCAGTTTGTTCACCTCCATGCACACAGAGGAGCTCAACCGCTACAGGGACACTCTCAGAAGAGCTATCTTGCTCCTGAGCCCACGTGGAGCACAGGTCTTTATCCATCAGGTATGTGTTTAGCCACTTCTGGCAACTAGTTGCCATGCGAATGGTGTAGTTTCACAAGCTTTCTCAATGCATTATTGATTATCTGAATCTGATCAACCTATGAATCTTGAATCTAATCGATTTGCTGACTACACAATGAGTCACACCCCTACATATGACCACATAATTGCCATATTGCACGCTCATGTACATTTTCCATAAAGAAAGTCATAACAAATTTGTCAAAGCCAATTCACCCAGTTGTTTTTGACAGATCTGATCCTATTCATGATTTAGCTAAAGATTAATCCTGATTTTCCAAATGGTGTGTGTGGGGTGACATTATTGTAATCTCCCGCCATATGAAATTTTGTCTCTGCCTAGAGTAAAAACTGGCTCATTATGTCCTACACAAAACCTGTCACTTTTGTTGCATCCCTCCGTAATGGCTGTACAAATGACCTGACAGGCCCGCACACCTTTACTCTCATTATCCCAGCATCTTAAGTACACTCCTCCACTGATCTGAGGTCACACACATCCGTTAACATCACACATTGGCCTTAACAAGTTCTGTGGGATCTGAACTGGAATCAGTCACTCATGCTGGCGGGATGCCCGTTACTGCCAAGAGCAAGAGCATGGCTTTCTCATGCATATGGATATGCCATAAGACAATGGTCAGCTCCCTGTAATCTCCCCTGCTCGTGGGAAATGTGATTTATATTTGAAATGAGTATCAGCTTGATTAGCCTTTGATGTTGCATCCTTTTAACTGTAAAGATGAACGAAATACAGATTAGACATTGCAATTCGGATGGTTCCACAAATCTAATGGGGATTCTTAAAAACAAGAAAGAATCAAGTAAAGAATGAGCTTAGGGAATTTGTAAGTGTGGCTGGATGGATGAACAGAACAAAAACCCCAAAATAAACTGACAAATAATTGAACTTGTTAGTGAATTTGAGTAAATTTAGTCGAAAGCATCAGTACTAACACGTTTTAACCCCAACATGGTTAAATTCTAAATTCAGTTAGAATATATAGCATTTTTAGCCAGTAAAGTTTCAAAGGATAATGCATACAATTGTACATAATAGTATAAGTTTCAGTTTCCAGTGTATTTCTGAGTGTGTTTTTACCGGTGTGTACTACAGCTGAGACTGTTGTCATGTTCTCCTGTCATCCGTGACAGGCTGTGCTTCCCAGCCATCAGCACACAGATGCCACTTGAGGTTTTTCCTGTTTGGTTCCATAGCTGATAACTCACTACTTCAGTTTATCCCACAACAGCACAACACGCCATCTCAGGACAAATAACTCAAAGTTCACTGAGCTCAGTGACTAAGTAAAGAGGCTTATTATCAGTTCAGCTTAGCATCTGGAATACTGATCATAGATTGTTTTGAATCTAAAACTCTTTACATTACCCTTTTTTTCTACTGTGTAATGTATTGTGTGAGGCTTCTTTGATGGGGGGGATGACACTTTACATTATCACTAGGTGTGAAAATTGCTCTGCTTTTCCTTCATTTTGATCTTGTAAGACCAATGGAAGATTGTTCTTAATTTGGCACTGCATTTCAGTACTATCCATTACATTACCATTAAGTCCTATCCATTTCAGTGGATAGGTAGATAGAAATGCATTCACTGCCGCTGATAGCAGACTCTTTGGAAAAACAAGCCTGGATGTGGCAACATTTCTTTAAAATTCTATTACATGTATTCTTGCACGTTTCATGGCACTTTCAAAGTGAAATGCTCAGTAAGTGGCATGAAAAGCTTGTTCAGCTTGTTTTATCTGTAACTAATGAAACTAATATATGTGAATCTGGCAATGTTTTATTACATTGGTTGTGTATGTATCTTAGCAGTTCAGAAGTGAAATGTTCGGTGAGTGGGTCTAAAAGGTTAATGCTCTATAATGTACCAACAACACTAAAATTATCAGATAGCAAAAAGATAAAAAAATTAACAAAAGCAAAGGTGATATAAAAACACATTCGCTGAAGCAACCATGCCATTTTAACTTAACTTCTAAAAGTCTTTGAACTCTTTTACTGACTCATACCCAAGCACTCAGCGTCACAAGTGCAATGCGCTACTTAGGTGAGTAACCTATGTCAGAAAACTCATATAGAGCTGATTATGTGATGCTAACATCAGTTCATCCACAAGATGTTTTAAGGTCATAATGTAGTATTGTGCAAAGAAACCACACAAAAATAAGATTTATTAAATCAACACACTGCCCCTGTAATCGTATGAAAAGGTGAAAAGGAGAAAAGAAATGTGTTTTACTGCCACTAGTGTTTATTTCAGCTGGAAACTGCATACATACACATCAAAAATGTACAAAATCACAAATATTTTGATCAAAATAATACACACAATAATGGTGTGAGAAATGTATGCATAAATGTATGTTTGGTATATGCAATTATATTTCAGTGTTGTCTTTCTGTGCTTCTTGGAGATTATTGTAGTCTATGAAAACAGAGTAAACCAATATTTTCATTGTGGTTAGCCGAAATGAAAGTTTCTTTTATTAACGCATATTGTGATAAGCTCCAATTGTACAGTTTCCACTGATACATGTACATTAAGGTTCTATTAATGCATACGACTGTGATGTATTAATTTGCATTTAGTTTGTAGCTCTGTTCCTGTTCCCTGTTTCCCCATGTTAGTCCCTGATTGTCTGTAAAAATGTGTTCTATCAGTCAGCCCTCTTTCTAGTGTTCTTTATCAAGTCTTTCAAGGTGAGCTCAGATCTGTTTGGATCCTACTTTCTATTGTTTCTGAGTTCTTGGCATTACAGCAACATGTTGAATAGGGAACAGTTCTGCAAAATTCTTATCTAGGATTATGCAGAATAAGGATTTATACAACAAAGTTAGTTTACAATGCTCCATTTTATAATGTGAAAACCCCTTGCAGTGGATAAGCTTTTGTGGCTCAAAAATAATCATTGTCCTAAGTGTAAGAAGTTCAAGAAGTTCAAGTCTTTCTTGCATGCGTTTGTTCAATAACAATGGCAAATTTGGTGGTAGCTGATTTTGCAATTTCACTGGAAAGACATGGGAGAGCATTTGGACAGGAGAAATTGAACACAATTGTGAAAACTAGGTATAGCATGGCACTGCTTGCCAAATTTTTCTGCCCTTTGTCAGCTATGATGGGGTCCGCCACTGACTAGAAAGCAGGATGATGCAGAGACTTTGATCTTTAAATAGGAACTAGTACGCTTATGATGTGAAGCATCTTACAGAAGCACTGTTCCATAAACTAGTGAGCTGGGTAACACTTTTTAAGGTTTCCTTGTTACGCACGCTACATGTACTATTATAATAACAATAAATTATGCATAATTACATGCAAGTAACCCTAAACCAAAACCTAATCCTAAACCTAACCATATAGTAAGTGCATGTAGTTAATTTATATTACTCAGTACTTCAATGTACAATTACATTGTAACAAGGACACCTTAAAATAAAGTGTAACTGAGCTGTCTTGTTGTCTGATGTTTTCATAGGCAGCATCTTCAACAGAAATGGGAACTTATAGGTGACTACATAGGGAGCAGATCCACGTGCCACACAAAAGAGGACCCACCTGAGTTGGTCTCTTTTCTGTGGCTTAGCTAATGACATAAAAGCATGCTAATCTAGTGGCATATGAGATACTGGATACTCATTGAGTTATTTTTAATCAATACATTTCCAAATGTATTTTGTCTCGCAATGAATTTTGGTTTGGCCATCTCCATAAACAAAATGTTAGAAATTACTTTATAATACTGTTCAACCAATCACAGCTTTCTGATTTTAGAGTTGGGACTATGATTGTTTGATGCAGGATTGTTCCTAGAACTTGCCCTATTTGTGTAAATCACAGTGTGCCAGCATGCTCTGGCTTTTAGGCCTTGTGTTGTGTCTGTATTGTTGTTCTCTGTCATTCCTAAAGGAAGTGGTTGATAGGAAATACTCAAATGACTTGTGTTGCACACAAGAGGTGTAATTTGTGGCACTGCATCATCTGCAGAGGCTGTGCTGACCAGTTGAGAGTTGTTAAACTGAGGAGCGGTTAGCCACGGACAGAACGCCTCCCGGGTGCCTGGACATGATGCTGACAAATCTATCTATCTATCTATCTATCTATGTATCTATCTATCTATCTATCTATCTATCTATCTATCTGTCTATCTGTCTGTCTGTCTCTCTCATCTTATGGTTTATGGTTGGAGATCAGGGCCCGTATTCACAAAACATTTTATTGTACCACTGAGAGTTCTCCTAAATAGCAGTAAACGTTTTTAGCTAAGCGTTTTTTCTTAAAACCTATTCACAAAGCTGCTGAGACAAACTTTTACTAAGGAATAGAGAGAAGTCTTAAGCTAAGAGCAAGGGCGGGGTTGGCCTTGTTGGTATGGATGATGTCAGCATGCTTACTAACTATGCACACACTGATTGGCTGATAGGGGAGGGGTCTCTGTCAAGAGATTTATTCATAGAGATATTGTAGAGCATGATGTTGTCATATATAAAGGATTAAAAATTAAAATGTTGCCACATTCAAATAAAGATTTTAAAATGCAGGCTAAGTGTCACTAATTAAACAAGTATATGTTCAACTAATTGTCAGCCTCTTACATGTATGCTTCTCGTAAACAATTCGAGAATATGTATATAAACAGCCTTTTAATTAACAGAGTAGAATAATCATGGCTGATAGTAATACATGCAAAAAAAAAAAAAAACTGGACTTAAGAACAGCTGTTACTTCTTGCCCAACTGGTCATGAAAACAATTATATAATCAAATAAAAATTTAGAGTTGGGATAACCTCCAAAACCAAAGGCAATACCTTTTTAAAAGGTCATTATCATCAAATGTTTCTAAAATGTTTACATTCAGAGGCAGCGGAAGTCGTCATAGTTGGGTTAACTTGAAGAGCAGTGAATGGGAGAGTACCACAAATGTATTTTTGTGCATTCCCATTTGCTCAAATAGCA